CTGCTCGACGCCGAAGTGCTGCCCGCACTGACTGTCTCGCGGCTCCGATGGGGTGGAGACCAGGAGGAGGAGGAGGAGGAGGAGGAAGAGGAGGAGGAGGAGGAGGAGGAGGACGAATAGGAAGTCAAGGAAAGGGGGAAGGAGAGGGAGTGCACACCGCTCGTCGCCCTCGTGGTCGTGAGGCTGGTGCTGCTGGTGGTTGTCGTGCTGCCCAGCGTCTCGGTGTCCGACTCTGTCGTGCTGCTCCTCGTCGTAGAGCAGGAGGTACCGCACGTGTCGCTCGAAGACGCGCTGCTCCAGGCACCGCTCGTCGCCGTCGCGGGCGCGACGCTGCTGGTGCCGGGTCCTTGCGAGGGAGACCCTGGAGGATTCCACAAAGCGACTGGGCCGGTCCCCCCTCCCAGACCCGCGAGGTCCCGCAGGGTGAACCAGTGGAAAGAATGGAAAGTGGCGACCAGGAAAGAGGAGACGAGCGAGGAGGAAGCGAAGGAGGGGTCACGGAGAGGAGCGAAGGCGGGGTCGGGAGACGGGGCGCCGGCAGCGCCGCACGGGCAGGGAGGGCAGGAAAGGCCAGGAGGGCAGCGGGGAGAGGCGTGCAGGACAGAAGCAGGCGCGATACCCAGACAGACTGAGCCCGTCTGGAGGGCGCGGGTCCACAAGGACCTGGGGGACGGCGGATCGATCGGCCCCACATGGAAGGTGGGGTCTCCCCAGGACCACGAGGGCCCCTCAAGCGACGAGGCGACCGAGAAGTTAAGCCCCGTTTGGATTCTAAATCCCTGAGTCCACGAAGTCGTCCAGCTCGGGCCGGGGGCGCCGCCAGGCGGGGCTGCAGCAGCGCTGGCGGTCTGGCGGCCGCCAGGCGGGAAGTCGGGCCAGTCTGAGTCGGGCGTCGGGTAGGGCGTCGGGCTGGGTCGGGGCGTCAGGCTGGTGTACGGCGCTGGGTAGCGCAACGTGCTGGGGTAAGGCGCCGGACAGGGCGTCGTGCTGGGGGCCGGCGTCGGGTAGGGCGTTGAGTTGGGGTTGGGCGTCGGGTAGGGCGTCGGGCTGGGGTGGAACGTCAGGTTCGGCGTCGTGCTGAATGACATCATCGGGTAGGCCGTCGTGCTGGGGCGAGGCGTCGTGCAGGGCATCGGGCTGGGGTAGGGCGTCGTGTAAACGGTGGGTGTCAGGAAGGGCATCGGGCTGGTGGAGGGCGTCGGGCTGAGGTGGGGCATCGTGTAGGGCGTACTGCTTGGGTAGGGCGTGTAGGGCGTCGTGCTTGGGTAGGGCGTCGTGTAGGGCGTCGTGCTGGGGCTGGGCGTCGGGTGGATCGTCGGGGTGGAGTAGGGCGTAGGGGAGGGCGTCGTCCTGGGACTGCGTGTCGGGTATGGCGTCGGGGTGGAGTAGGGCGTACGGGAATGCGTCGTGCTGAGACTGGCCGTCGAGTAGGGAGTCGGACTGGGGGAGGGCGTCGTGTAGGGCGTCGTACTTGGGAAGGGCGTCGTGTTGGGCGTCGTGCTGGGGTTGGGCGTCGGGTCGGTCCTCGTGCTGAGGTAGGGCGTGGGGGAAGGCGTCCTGCTGCGGCTGGGCGTCGGGCGGGGCGTCGGGCTGGGGTAGGGCGTCGGGCTGGGGGAGGGCGTCGTGTAGGGCGTCGTGCTTGGGTAGGGCATCGCTCCTCCCTCCACTGTGATACTGCTGGTTCCACTTTGAGTTGCGCGCGTAGAGCTGCCGAACTGCGCCGTGTTGCTCGGGGCCCTGGGCGTGCTGTTCTCTGCCATGCTGCCCGTGGTCCTGGTCGTGTGGCTCTGCTGCTGCTGGTCGTTGTCGTGGCGGCATTGCTGCTTGCCGTCGTGGCCGTCGTCGCGATGCTGCTGGTCGCGGTCGCGGGGGTGCTGCTGGCCTCTGACGTAGTGGCGCTGCTGGTTGTGGCGTTGCTGGTCGCCGTCGTGGAGGGGCCGCTGCTGGCTGTCGTCGTGGTGTTGCTGGTCGCAGTCTTGATGGCGTTGTTGGTCGTCGTCGCGGTGCTGCGGGTCGCGGTCGTGGTGGTGCTGCTGGTCGTAGTCGTGGTGGCGTTGTCGGCCGTGACTCTGCTGGACGCCGTCGTAGTGGTGCCGCTGCTTGCCGTTGTCGTGGTGCCGCCGGCCGCCGTTGTTGTGGACTTGCCGGACTCCATCGTGGTGCTGCAGCTGGTAGTGGCGTTGCAGCTGCTGCCGCTGCCGCTGCTGCTGCTGCTGCTGCTGCTGCTGCTGCTGCTGCTGTTGCTGCTGAGCGTAGTCGTGGCGCTGCTGGTCGTCGTCGCGGTGGCGCAGCTGCCTGCGGTCGTGGTGGCGCTGCGGGGGGTGGCGCTGCGGGTCGCCGTCGTGCCGGTGTTGCTGCTGGCTGTCGCCGTGGTTTTGCTGGTGGCGGTCGCGGTGGCATTGCTGCTGTTGCTGCTCGAAGTTGCGTTGCTGCTGGTTGTAGCCGTTCTGGTCGTGGTCGTTGTGGTGCCGTTCGTTGCGCTTGGGCTGCTGTGCGCGGCGCCGCTGTTGGGAGTCGTGGCGCCTCTTGTGCTGGGCGGAGTCGTGGCGATGCTGGTCGCCGTCGCGGTCGTGTTGGTGCCTGCGGTCGTGGTGACATTGCTGGCCGTGGCTCTGCTGGTCGCCGTCGTGGCGGTGTTGCTGTTGGCCGTCGTCGTGGCTCTGCTGGTCGTGGTCGCGGTGGCGTTGCTGCTGGTGCCGCTGTTGCTGGTGCTGCTCGTAATTGCGCTGCTGCCGGTCGTAGTCGTTCTGGTCACGATAGTCTTGGTGCCATTCATTGCGCCTGGGCTGCTGCGCGCGGCACCCCTGTTGGGGGTCGTGGCGCCCCTTGTGGTCGTCATTGTTGCTTCTTGGCTCGTCGTTGTTGTTGCTTGGCTCTTGTGGGCTTGCTGCACAAGCCAGGGCGCCGCCGGGACCCGCAGCGGATCCGCGCAGGCCCCAGCGGGGAACTGGTCCCAGGAGAGTCCTACCGTGGGAATGGGGCTCTTCCCCTGGGGGGCTCGGGCTGCAGCTGGCGCCAGCCCCCTCCCTCGGAAGGGGCTGGGGGGCTGGCGGCCAGACGGCTGGAATGGCCGTCTGGGGAGGCGGTGAGTCCTGCTGTCTGCTGTCGTCGTTTCCGCTGATGTCCGTCGTGGTTGTTGTCGGCTGTCGTCGGCGGGGGTCGGGGGCAGGGCGTCGGGGGAGGAGAGTGCGGGAGGGGACTGAAGAGGGAGGGCCGGCCGCCCTTAATTCGGGAATGGGTACCTGAATTGCGATTGCAAAACTAATTAAGTCTAAGTCAGAATATCGAATTATACAGTTAATTGGCATTAGTTGGGCCGGCTCAGCGCTGGCCACGGCGGACACCTTGGAGAGCGCGCCCCACTTGCCGACGCTGTTGAAGACCATCTTGCAGGAGTACTGGTTCTTCGCCTCGAAGCTGGTCACCGACGGGGTCGTCCTGATGGCATCGCACTCCACCTCCTCGCACTCGACGTCGAACTCGCCCGTGGTGCCACCCGTGGTCGCCTCGAACGCCTCGGGGAAGCAGTCGAGGCGGCCCGTGCCGTTGGTGCCGCCCGTGCTGACCGTCACGATGGCCTCGGACGCCGCGCCCTGCCCAGTCGAGTCACCGTTCACCCCCTCGTCCCTCCTCCCTCCTCCATCCTCCCCCCTCCCTCCTCCGCCTCCTCCTCCTCCTCCTCCTCCTCCGCCTCCTCCTCCTCCTCCTCCTCCGCCTCCGCCTCCGCCTCCGCCTCCGCCTCCGCCTCCGCCTCCGCCTCCGCCTCCGCCTCCGCCTCCGCCTCCGCCTCCTCCTCCTCATCCTCCCCCTCCTCCTCCTCCTCCTCCTCCTCCTCCTCCTCCTGGCAAGAAACAGGGTTGCAGCGCAATCCCGCTAAGCGACCCCGCAAGGCATCCCGAGGGGGGCGCGGGCGCCTAATCTGGTTCAAATTGCCCCTCAATGGACTAAACTGGTTAGAACTGGTCGGGGGGATCGTCAACCGTCAAGGTCCCTGATGCAACATGCTACATGAGATTGAATGGCGACGCAAACAACCATGACACGTGCGCAACGGTGCAAGCGGAGATCCTTATCAAACGGAAGGGGCAACAGAACACGGCACCATCAGTCTCTCCCTCTCGATGAGCCAAGGCCGACCAGCTGGGATATGCGGAGGAGGCGGGGGCAGATAGAGACGAGTTGTAAACGTAGGGCGCCACCTGATCATCATCGCTCTCCTCCTCTCCTCTTCATCCATCGCCCCCCGCCGTGCATCCTCGGCGTCGTCGGGCACAAGATTCAAGCGCGAGCAAACGCAGACCAGCCCAGAGAGGAGGGGGTAGCAATCTTGTGATTGGTACGGTATTTCCACCTCTTCGGCTTGTCCGTGTTATTAGTTACTTCACCTGCATTCCATGGGGCAGGTCATCTCGTGATCTGCTGGCGGGTGGACGACTATCAGAGAGTGTAGCAGGGAGGAAGGACAGTAGAGGTGTGACTGTCGAAATCGTCGTCGCCCCCCTCCCGTACTCCGCCCATGTCCCCTCCCAGCTGGGGTGGCCCCCAGGCGGGCCTGGGCCTGCAAGCGCCCACAAATGCAGACATGAACGCCCGCTCCCCAACCTCATGCATCATTCTTCCACCGCGCTTACTCCCTCTTGTTCCGACGGCCCATCTTTAGCATCGCTCGCCCCATCCACCATGACGCCGCTCTGCGTTGCCCTCCACCTCCCACATCCCTCACCTACCCTCCCCCGCCCTCCCAGCCCCGACTCGCACTTCCTCCTCCTCCTCATCCTCCTCCTCCTCCTCCTCCAATCACCGCTATACCTTCAAGGTGGTAAGATGGTAAAGGTCGACGCCAATGGACGAACGCAACTGCGATGATGGGAGCAACGGCGACAGAACTGATCAGACCGCGGCCGCCCGATTTCCCGTTGGCGACGAAAGTGTCGTTCGCGAGATGCCAGCATCTCAGCCGTGCACCCGCGCGTCCCAACGGTGCGTTGCCAAACGCGGGTGGCCTCAGTCGGATTCCGACTCTTCCGTGCTGCCCTTGCTCTGGTCACCTTCGTCGTCCACAGGTGCTGGGCAGTCTGCTGGCTGCTGCTCCCGCGGCTGCTGCCCCGACGAGGCACTCCCGCCGCCTTCGAGGTCCGCGAGGGGCGCCGCATCACCCGCGTCGGGGTAGTCATCAGTGTCGATGCCTGCTTCCAAGGCCGCCATCTTCGCGTTGAACTTGTCAACGTGCTTCTGATACATGTTCGGGTCGTGCTGTTTGGCGACCTTGCTGTAGAAGAAGTGCGAAGTCATGTGTTTCTTCCACATGCGCTCGACGGTCTTGGTCTTCTCGCGGTGGGCATCTGAAAGACGGGTCTCGAGCTCCGTGCGCCCGAGCTTCTTGATCGCAGGCTTCGTCAAAGCCATCACGGGGCGAGACCGTGGACGCGTGGAGGGCGGCTGCGGGCGCGGCGACACAGACTGAGCCAACGTAGCTACGGACTGTCAAACGCCAGACGAGGCGAGCCTGTCCGTAGACGAATGCGGCGGCCGCGACTGCTGACTGCAACCAGGTTGCCCCAGAGGGCTGGGCGGAGCAGGACTGAACGCCAGGTCAACCGACGCGCCCACAGGCAAAGGCGTTAAGATTGACATGTCCGACCCAGACATCAAGGGCCAGCGTGGCCGCTATCATGATACATTTCAACTGTGCAGGGAGGTGGAGCGTTTCGCGCCTGCGATAGCCAAAGCCACAGTGATGTCAGAGGAGCCATGGAATATGGACGAGTTGGCGGAGATGGGCGGGCTCTAGGTGACGTTGCTCAGAAGTCCCAGACAGACGACGACGACGCACTCCAGTTTCATTTTGATCGCCAATCGAGGCCCCTCACTGGACCAGAAGAATGCCAACCTCTGAGCTCACGCTAAGCGCCCTCACCAAAACTGGACTCTGCGAAGCGGGTGCGCAAGGGAGAAGTGATCAAGGGGGGGCCGATGTGTGGTGCAAGAAACTGAGACGTGACATCATGGAAAGGGGTGAGTGCACTTCTGTGAGAAGAAGGAGGTGCACGAGACGGAGACGAGGCGCATGAGAAAGCAAGAGGTGACTGACACGTCACAACCAAACTGCGAGCTCGCCTCACTTCGCGAACTCCGAAAAGGATGCCAAACGATCCTTCCACATCGCGGCTGACTCGGCCTCGAGCTGCTTCAGGTTCCACGCCTGTATGCCCTGCCACACGTTGGGCGGGAGGTCGGAGGCCCAATTCTTCACGAATATGTTCCATACCCAAGCAAAGCCGATGCCTTCGCACTGCTCTGACGGCGTGAAACCAGTAAGGAGTGGCAAACACGCGTATCCGTACGGCACCCACAACAACGAGCCAACATTCATCTTGATGGGCGTCACGGACTCCTCCACGTACTTCTTACCGTCATCCGTAGTGAGGAAGCCCGCTGCATCAGTCAGCGTAATGCCCTTCAGCAACAGGGGCTCGATCGCCAAGAGCTCGATCACCATGGGCGCCTCGACGGTCACGAAGCAACCGACACCAGGAAGAGGCCATGACTTGGGCCCGTACTTGAACACCTCCTTCTTGACAGACGCAAGCCATGGGCAAACGCCCTTGCTGCCCGTGCCAGCGGTGCCCCATGGGCGCTCGCCCAGCTCGTACTTCTCGAACGTGGCTGGCTGAACCTGGGGAAGATTACCCAAACGACCGCTCCAAGTGGGATTGTCCTTCAACTTCTTAGTCATCTTCTCGACCTTCTCTGGCAATGATGCGCACCTGCCCTTCTCCTCATCGATCATATCGAACGAGCTTTTCACAGCGTCCGAGTTCGCATCGGCCTTTGTCCAACGAGAGATCACCTTGTGGTCGAACGCATCGGGGTCCTCAGTGACATTGCCTAGAGGCTTCTGCGAATAGATCAAGTCTGGCTGAAGCTTAGCAAAGTTCTTGTGGAAGCCACCGCTCACAAGACGGTTGACGACTTTCGTGCGCTCGTGCCGTCCATGCAAGAGCTCCTTCCGCTCGGCGAGCTTCTTCTCCTTCAGCAAGTATTCGATGGCACCCATGTGCTCCTCAGCCTTCGCCGCATCGGCGCGTGCGAGATCCACGGCCGACTCAACCGAAGCCCGAGTTCCCTCCAGGTCCGCAGCCCTCGAAGAATCAATGGTCTCCTTGAGCATCCGTACCTTAGTGACCGCACCCGCCAGCTGCTTGACGACGTCGGTCGTGGCAGTGTCCATGCACTTCCTGCTCTCCGTGCTGATCCTCTTGTCCGCCGCCATCATCCTGACGCAGATGCTCTTCGGCCCGTTGACGTGCTGCTCCACCTCAGCGACCTGCTCGCGGAGGGCGGCCTTCTCCTTTAGCCGCTGGATTGCCGTGACCTTGGTGCCAGACATGGCGCTGGTGACGCTGGCAGCGTCGCCGTCCCGCGACTGGGCCGAGTCATGGTCTCGGAGCGCCGTGGCGCTGAGCCGCGGAGCCAGTTTCCGCGCTGATCCCTTCGTAGAAGCAGGCGGGCTCGGGCTCGGATTCGGGATGCTGCGCACGGGTCGGCTGGAGGCATCCGACAGCGCCCCCTCGTCGCCACTTTTGTCTTCCAAGGGCGCATCGGCCATGCGGCGGTTCCGACGCCCTGCGGCTTCGCCCTGAGACTTGCCGCCGCTGCCGCGACGCGGCTGCCCAGATGCACCGCAAAGGCGGTCGTCGTCTTCCGCCCACGACCCCTCGATTGCGCCCGCCCTCTCACGCTGTGCGGGGTTGCCAGCCACAATGACGCACCGCTCGCCTGCCTCGGTGAACTTCTTGATGCCCATCCGCTCCAACCTCCTGACCTCGTTGTCGAAATCTTCCGACGCCGCGTCCGACTCGACCTTATCCCAGTGACCGACGTAAGACTTGCACCTGCGCTTGTTCAGAAGCAGCTTGCCCTTGATGTCTTCCTGGGCTGAATACTTCTCGATATTCGCGGCTTTCGACTTGATGCGAGATATGTTTTCAGCACGGCTCGATCCACCTTCTGGCCTCTTCATCATGAGAACATCTGTCCTCCACTCGGTCGGGTCCTCGAGCACGTTCTTGTCGGCGGCTTCAAGGGCCTTCGGGTACTTCTCCAAGATCCGCCTGCACGCGCGCACGGCGTTGAAGCACTCACCCGCGTGGAACTGCAACCCCTTCCAGGTCTTGACGGTGACGCTGCCAAGCGCATCCAAGCACAGGAAGCACGTGAAGTCGCCCTCGCCCTCCTCGCCCATTCCTGCAGGTTGAGAAACGCATGCGGCAGCGCGGCACCTCCTCCTCTTCACTGGGGGTGCCGCCGCACCCGCAGGGCTGCCCGCCATGTCGTCATCGCTCATCGCGGATGGAAGAGCGCAGCCGCAGAGAGCTGCAATCAACACAAGCTGCACAATGACTGTTGCCAAGGGCGCTGCAATGCGAAGAAACATACCTGGTTTGACCTATGTTGAGTTTGAGCCGACACGCATTACGGAATGCATGCCGATCGGGCTGCCCAATGTTGTCATCCTGGGGAACGCTGGGAGGGGGGCTGGGCTGTCATCTCTGCAAGCCCTGAGCGCGGGGGCGCTGCTGTCCCCTGGGAATGGGGATTGGGCTACCCGATAGGCACGGTGATTGCCCGCCCCACCGCCCCCCCCCCCCCCCCTCCCCCATGTGCGTGGAGTCTGGGCCTCCATCTCGTACAAACCCTGGGCGTGGCAACTGGGCTCTTGGAACCTCCCCCAATAGGACCGCTTGGGTGCATCCCGAGAGGTGGTAAAAGATGGGGGTCATGATGTCCATAAGTTTCGTTCGTTATGCGTGCCAGCTAGAGCTCTCTTGGGCCCACCTGGGGCCCCCGTTGTGCCACCTTAGGGCCGCCGCGGGGCCCTCCTGCCCCCCCCCCCCCCCCCCCCCCCTGCGGCATTTTGTTGCACCTTGTGGCGGCGCCAAAGAAGGCCAACAACAATAACAACAAAAAACAAAGGGTCCAACGATGAGATGCGTGATCCCAAGATCTTTCGTCTGTTCCTGGGTTTGAGGCTGGCCATGGAACGGCCGAGCAAGGGAGAACATGATCTTCGTCAGTGCCCTACGGTGGCTTTCCTGGAGTGCTTTCACGCGGAGCCTTGAAACAAAGAAAGTTGTTGAAGTTTGCGTCAGCAACTTCCTCCCGTTCACGCCTTCGCCTTGGGCGGGGCCTTGGGGGGGGGGGGGGGGGGGGGGGGGGGGCGTCACGTAGCCGCTGCGGGGCCCCTTTGGACGCCCGTCCGCTGGAAAAAGCGCGCCTCGTGCTGTCTCTATCAACTTGTCATTTTTCCTGTGGCCGAAAGCCCTGCTTGGGCCACGTGATAAAAAACGCGACCTGGACACGCCGACTCCTAGGTGGACTATGTCCGACGAGGCTGCATGTCCCGAGTCGGGAGGTCACCGACGTTCAACCGCATCGGGCCCTCCTGGGGGTCGCCGCGCGTTGTCCTAGAGCGGCGTCTGTCGAGCACGCTTCTCCTACCATGTCATTGCAGCTTCGAAACTTCGAAACATCTCCAAAACAGCTCCTCTTCCCCACCCTCTCCCTCCATCCCCTACCACCCTCTTCGCCACCATCCTAACCCATCCTCATCCCCCTTCCTCGTCCTCCTCCCTCCTCTCCCTCGTGGAGCCGAGCCTCCTTCGCCCCCTGCCCCTTCATCCTCCCTCTTCCGCCGCCCGCGTCCATTTCGGTTGCGCGGGTTCGCGGCGGTGGCACTTCGGATGGCGAGATGAAAGACCTTGCAGCAACCACGATGGCATGCACCTGTTTTTCTTGCGTTCGATCGAGCACCAAGCGCACGCAAGCGCGCCATTGGCAGCAACGGGGGCACGGTGCGGCTGGCGACAACCGAAGTAAGGAGTGCAACGCGCGCGTGCAACGACGTCAGACGCTGAATGTGCACTCATACCCTACAGTGTCATGCACAGCTGTTGTAAACACGACAACGCCAAATTCATCAGAAACGGCCGTGGTTTAATCTGGTGATTTGTAGTTTAAACTGGTTCACGTCGTGGCCACAGACTGGATTAAACTGGGGATTTGTGGTTTAAGCTGGTTTGGGTGGGGATTCATCTGGGGATTTGTGGTTTCATCTGAGGATGTGTGGTTTAATCTGGGGATTTGTGGTTTAATCTGGGGATGTGTGGTTGCATATGGTTTGCGCTCTTGTGCTATATGATCATCAGGCTTTGTTGCGATTCATCACGGCATGTGCGCATGAGAAGAGGCGTAATACATGCGTGCCTGCACGCGCGCGCTCACACATCATTGCACTAACGCAGTCT